AGTAAGTGAGCAATTTGATTGATATCTTGTCGACGTAAAATTGTTTTGGTAGTTATCTGAAAATAATGACTTCCACCTTGATATAGGCTGAACATTAAATATTTTAGCACCAGTCAAAGCTGATGGATCAATTTGTATGAAAACCTGAATTTATTTTATGAATTGATTATGAACATTTACGCACTATGTCCGATTCGTATCAGTTCTGAATTCGAAAAATTTTTATCTGTATTATAATTTCGATATTCGAATCCGAGTAATGACGGTCCGAAATATCAGTGTCATTTTATCTCTACGAGTATTATTTTATCGTACGAGCGATATTCGTATTTTCTCGGATTCCGATTGGCTTTGGATTGGCATTCTGTGCCTGCACATATCTTCCATCTGTATAATTGTTTTTCTTAATTTGTCTTTCGACAAAAACGATTTGCTAGTAAGCATCCATTCATAATTAGGCGTCAATGACCTCAGGAAACACTTAATAAATTTATAATCATCTTGAAACTTTGCTCTAGTCGCTAAATTGTCTAAATTGTAAAAATAACTTAAAAGCGATTCATTAGACATCTATCGTCTGTAATAAATTCTTGTGCATAGTCTATTTGCGACGAGAATTGCTCTGTTAACTTTTGTGCAATTATAACAATTATACACGTCGTGTATAATTGTTACGTCATGTCATAACTACGTCATTTCATGACGTATTTAAGAGATTTCTTGATCTTGCTCCTTGCTTTTGCCTAGGTACTATCGTAAACTACTCATGCGGTATCGTTAGCGTAAGCAAAGATGTTGCAATTTTTCAACGGTGTCAAGCACAGTTCAACACAAATATAAAAAACAACATATATCAAGAACAACGTAGGTCCCAAGATACTGCCCTGGAGAACACCTGTATCTATTGATAAGTTTGAGTTAATAAACTTATCTATTTTTACATATTGGGAGCGGTCAGTAAGGTAGTCACGAAAGATCTCGAGGGGTATACCACGAATTCCGATGTGTTCCAGTTAGGTGATCAAAGTGGCAACCTAGACAATGTCAAAAGCCTTGAATAGGTCTAAAAATATCCCGTAACATTTTAATTTCATATCCAGTTTATCAACCACAGTTTGTGTAAGGTCAGAAATGGTGTCTTCGGTAGAAAGTCCCTTTGCACAACCTTACCGGTTTTTTTGCAATAATATTGTATTGTTAAGTATACGTTCCAAGAGTCTAGAAAGTGTCGTTAGGACTGATATTGTTCTAATATAATCTTGTAATTTTTAACACTGCTCCTGTCCCCAGACTTAAAGGTCGGGTAAATGACGGGCTTTTTTTAAACCCTCGGGAAAACATCGGAGTCGATGGCAAGGTTAAAGATGTGTGTGATTGAAGGAGTGAGCACAGTAGAGGAGTCTTTTATAACTCTAACAGGGATCTTTTCCCAACCCATAGTACAATCAGAACGTAACATACTGATAAGTATTTCGACCTCAGATGCTGGTGAAATTACAATTGATTTAGTGGAAGCAGGTGTAGTAGGTTTATAAGAAAAAGGGTTATAGTTAAGATTGGATGTTATTTTTGAGGCAAGGCTGTTACCTACTTGAACAAAGAATGTATTTACGTCATCAATAGATACTTGGGGACCGTTACAGATATTCAACAGTTCAGTGGGAGATTGTGTTTGAGTATTGGTATGGGTAATAGATTAAATTGCTTTCCACGTTGCTTTAATGTTACTTTCAGCTGCCAGTAATTGATTTTTTGATAAGTTACGATACGGCTTATACGAAGTCTCCAAAATTGTATTTTTTGGATCTTTATTAAAGTTAAGATGCATCTTATCTCGATTCGTAATACAACTAATTAATCCTGGAGTTTTCCAGGGCTTAATTCTTTGGCTCTGGTGAAAAGGGGTACAAGTCAAAAAAGCCAACTTTACAAGGAAACTCGAAAAACACTTAGCGCTTAATATCATATTAAGCTTTAACTGTTTTTCGCGTCTCATTGTAAAGTAGGCATTTTTGACTTGTCCCCCTTTTCACTAGAGCCACAGAATTATTCTATGTTTGTTGGGATACTAATTGTATGGGTATTTTTAATAATTACGTTATGGATGGTTTCAATGAATTTGTTAGTTGCATTGTTAATTAAATAATTGGCGTCAACTTCATCATAAATAAAGGAAAAATCGAGGTGATCCATATCCTTTTTAACCGATAAAAAATTGATACGCGTAACTGATTTGGATGGCTTGAATTTAGGGGTAGTAGGTGGCGGAATCGATACAGCTATTGGCAAATGGTCGGTGATGACGGTTTTCATTATTCCAATTTTGGCACGAGACTCCAGCTTCAACATGAAGTGGTCTACGCAGTTTCCTTGCCTAGTGGGGTGTACATGTCCTGGTAAAAGACCAAGCGAGGCAAGGTATTCACCGGAGAGTCAGTCTATACTATTTAGCTTAATATCTATGTTGATATCTCCTGAGAGTATTAAGTGTTTATAGTCTTGTAGGGTGGAAAATATATTACCTAAGCTGGTGTTACATTTACATAAGTCATTATATGAAAGGGAGCGATAAATAGAGATAATGGCAGTGTCGTCAATGATACATAATAAACAGTTACCTTCATTGAATTCAGGTTCCGTTACATTACATATTAAGGAATCCTTAACGTACAAAACTACTCCATCATTTTTAATTTGTTATTTAGGCTAGAATGGGAAATATAATTTTGTATAGAAGGAATTGGCCCTGTAACTTTTATCATTTATTACATCAAAATCAAATGACAGCGAAACCAAGTTACCAAAGTTTTTTTATAATTCTTATATTTAAATGGATTATCTTTAATTTAGATTTATTTATGAAATTTATGCTTTTCTGTAGTTCATTGTTGTCTTTTTGGATTTGGTGACACTGAGTCTTGAGCTCAGCGATATCCCTCACAAGAAGTGATAAAGTAACATCCTGTTCATCCTTCCACGAATTTAACATTAGATCAAGATTGATCTGTTTTTCAAGATTTAAGCAATCTCCATGATCTCCATTTTGAGGTCAGACATTCTTTCTGAGGTAGGATTGTTTATTTGAGCATTAGGTGACTCATCTGATCGAAAGCGTTTACCTCTCATCGTTGCATGAGAGTGTTCTTGTTTCTTAGATTTTGTCTCTTTTTCACCGTCCACTTGAAATTCTTTGAGCTCCGGGGGGGTCCTGTTTATGTTCGATATCTAAGGTTTTATCAGGTGTGTACAATTGTAAGGCCTACAAAAATAGAGGAGCAAAAACAAAAGTAATTGGCGTAGCGGTCTGTGCAATGCGTAGCCGTAGCAGTGTGACGTACTCACAAATGAACAGCGTAGATAAGAAGAAGAAGTGAATGTGGTTACCTATTTCGATGTGCTACGGCATAACAGTATTGGCTCAGCGGGCAGGCGGCCAACTCGACGTGCAGTCAGAGCAAAGCGGCGCCGCCCGCCGGTTCAAATCCAACTGCGCGGAACTGGCGCCGATATCTTCAAGTCGTACTTCACAAAACACAAGCAGCCTCATCGGTAGGAGTCTCGTCGTTAAGTCACCGCGTGTGTAACAAGGAAATGGGAACAACAATCACAGTCCAATAAAACAAATTTAGCGGAAAAAAATGTGAATGTATCACAGTACGCGATCGAGTGAGGACGTGTCGTCACTCGATCGCGTCTGGTGGAGAACTACAAGAAGTAACTTATGGTGGCACTTCACATGGATATTTGTATTTGCGTATTGATATATTTGGCAAACATGTATTACCAAAGCATTTGCCTTATTTGCCTATTGTACAAATACAGCAAATACCAAACTTGGGCTACCGCGCGCTGCGCTGGTCGGTTTCTTGACGCACATCAAAGGAACCAAATAGGCAAATACGCAAGTAAACCGTCGACACTATGGTCATATTCATTATTTTATCTCCTTATTTAGCTCAATGTGTATACGGTCATATTTTTCAGGTTTGCGTGATTGTCTTTTTCCCAAATACATCTAACACCCAATCGCGAATACTAATAGCCGATGAAGTTCCGCCATTATATAAAATTTTTCTTCAAATTTAAAAAAAATTAAATTCGAATAAAAGTATACAGCTTGATGTGCTGTTGACTGTATATGCCACTGAGGATTCGTACCGTCGACCTCCCAATTTTTTTTTTATGATACCAAGTGGCGGGATGAACAAGTCGTGGGCCTCGCAAAGATCTTGGGGGCACTGATGTATACTGCACCCGTTACCCTTAGATATAAGTTGAGATATAAGTTGAGAAGTCTCATGTGTCTGTAATTTCACTAGCACCCTTACCCTTCAAAACCGAAACGCAGTAATGCTCACATTACTGCTTGGCGGCAGAAATAGGTAAGGTGGAAGTGCTTCCCTGGACGAACTCTTTCACAAGGAGCTTTACTTCTACTATAAACTCTTGAAACTTAGTGGGAGAAAGGTTGCTTCTTAATTGGTTAAGAAGCAACCTTTCTCCCACTAAGCTTTATCCGTATAAATATTGATTCAAAACTGTAAAGAACTTTAAAAACTTTATTCAAAGCTTGTTCCAATTTATTTAAGTTTTCAACATACAATGTTGTTTAGTGGTTTGGAAATATATCTTAAACGCTCTATAAACTCACGCAACTATTATATTTGCGAGACGTGGAAAGTTAAAAGAAATTCATCATCATCATATTCAATCGTTCAATACATTTTTTGAAATATTAAAAATTACAATAACAAAAACCGCTGTCTACAAAAGCATTCTTTACCAAAGCGCTAAAAACAAATCAAAAGCGTGTCTACGGATAATCGCGAACATTAAATATTAGCAAGGCCATACACGTCCGTTTGACTACAAAGCCGCTCGGGTAGCAAAATCCGATTCGTCATAAAAGTATAATAATAGTGGGTTGGGGTGCCGCAACAACGGGTGACCTACTCCGTGCAGAGCGCGCGCCGCCCGCCGCGCCAGTCTTCACCAGGGCCTCCTAATGACCCCAGGCGTCCCGCGTTGCGCGCCACACACTCACAAACTGATAAAAACTTAGCCGTGATTGAAATTCCGCTTGTTACATGCGTGCCAGTACCACTGTACTCAGAGGAGCGACAGGCGCAATTCGCCGCACTCACTTCGTCTCGCTCACTCGTCAAGCCAAAATGAGCTCTAAGAGCGAAGCTGCAGCGACGTAATTCGTAGTGGTCAGATACCAAGCTAGGTAAGTGTTTTAATTCGTTTTATAATTAAAAGGGAAGGTACAGGGTTAGTGCACAAAATAAACTTTTCATGAGTCTCGTAGCTTTTAGTAGGTAATTCTTAAACTTCAGTGTTTACCTCTAACGTTTCAGGTTATTTTTTTCATGTACCATGTTACACTTTCGTGATTTTGTTAATATATAGTGTTGTTTATTGTGTTATTTCTAATATATTTCAACGTGAGTAATAACATTTTATATATTTCCGTACTTCTCTATAATTTAATCGCTTGTACCTATTTAATATACTTTGTTTATAGTTGGTCGTCAAAAAGTATACGTTATATTTTATTTTATATTGACTCACAAAACGCCCTTATATATTTAGATCATAAGGACGTAAACTTAAGGTTCAATATCCTTTATTTTGTTGAGTAGGGTATACTGTAAAACACAAAGAGAAGTTTTTTTGTTAACAAAACAGTTCCAAAGCTGCAGATTTCAGGATTAATTGAACTTGTTTCAACTGACCTATTTGTAGTTTATTGAATCAAATCGATAAACGTAATCGTTTCTGTTGAATTGCACAAGTAATAACGTTGCAACCTACATTTTGCTTTACGCCTATGACGTAGGCCCAATAATATTACTGTAATGCGGTACATACTGTGAGCCTTTATACATTTTAAACGATCTCTCTCACGTAACGCGTTAATAATTAAGTAGGTACTGAATTCGTCTTCTGTAGTTCATTTCTTCTCAAAAGCTACAGTTACTTTATAAAGGTAATTTCCAGTTACTAATTTATAATAATTGTCAGAAAGTATATACGAAATGAGACTTAAGTGGAGATATTTCTATCCAATTAAACAGTTTTTTTTGTTTCAGGTTGAAATAAAATATACACAACAATAATGTAATTATGCAAAAGATTTTATGCTACAAGATAAGGAAAAATGGACGTGATATTTTGCAAATTATTTCATTATTACTGGTTCTACCCTCCTTTTTGCGAGCTGAAAATACCCTGGGGTGTCCCGACTTAATAAGAAGTAATAAATGTTCATGTTATACTTTCGAAGATGGTAAGGCTTTTTTATTTTTATTATAAATATGAAATACAACAGGGGAATGAATTTATAAATCGAAAAATGTATTTTGCAGGTATTTTTCTTGATTGCCAAGATGCTGTTATAAAAGACGTGAAGAATGCTCTTAAGAGTGTACCAAATGTCCATTCGTTATCTTTATACGACCTTCATGATGACCAGGAGGCCCTGGGACCCCATCTGATACCCCAGGGTTTATGCATCAAACACATTCACATTGCCAGGACCAACATAGGAGACATAGCCGATGACACCTTCATGCCACTGAGAAAGTGCCTTGAAACTCTGAGTATAGTTTCTAGCAAGATCAAATTCATGCCACAAAAAGTATTCTCTGGCCTACTTAAACTAATCTCCATAGATCTTACTTCAAACTTTATACAAGATATACCGAGCTACAGCTTTTACGGTCTTCCGCTAATGAAACTGAATTTAAAAGGAAACATGATAAGTGATATATCTGACTCTGCATTTTCTAGTTTAGAACTCACGCTCAGTGAAGTTAATTTGAGCGAAAATAATCTTACAACTTTTCCTATAGCGTCTCTCTCGAAACTAAGACATTTGCGGTCTTTGCGGCTCGCATGGAACGAAATGTTCTTTTTCCCCAGTGTTGAAAATTCAGATCTCATATCCCTAGAGTACCTTGATTTAAACTCCAACAATTTTGAATTTATTTCAGAAGACTGCCTTAAATTTTGTCCGTCCCTGACAATATTATCATTTCATTTTAATTTTATTAACAACATACACTATCGTGCTTTCTATTCGTTAGTTAACTTGAAGTCCCTAGACTTAAGTCATAATCGGATTAAGGTTTTAAACCCGAATCTTTTTCAAAACAACAAATATCTTGAATTTATAAATCTAAGCCATAACCATTTGCACCACATTCATGGTTTGTTCTGTAACATGCCGTCACTCGATGAAGTATTTTTAAGTCATAATAATATTTTGGATGTGCCAATAGATTCATTTCTTAACTCTAGTAAAATTAGTGCAATATACTTAGATACGAACTGCATAAGCAATATTCATAGTGAGAGTTTTAGTAATTTAGAGAATTTAACTAAGTTACGATTAGAGTTTAACTATCTTAATAAAGTGCCACATGATATTTTTATTAATAATAAGAATTTAAAGAAAGTACGGATAGACAATAATAATTTCTCCGCTTTACATAACAGTACACTGTGGTCTCTAGAGAACATTAATGAAATCAGACTAAATCACAATAAACTCAAATTTATCTCAAAATTCCATTTTATGAATTCTTTGAAAGTAGAAGAGATATATCTGGATAATAATATAATAAGCTTTATCGAACCAGGGACCTTTATGAAAATGTATAATCTAAAGTATCTAAGTTTGCACAACAACGATCTGACAGATATCAATGACATTTTGCCCAAACTGAGCTCGGGCCTGCTCACCCTCCACTTGGAATTCAACTCGTTAACTTTAATAAACGGTTTCATGTTTCACTTCCAGGAAAAGTTGCGCCATTTAAGTTTGAAAAATAATCGCATAAAATTTTTGACAAAGAGCACTTTCCGGAATTTAACTCATCTCTCTAGACTTGAGTTAAATAACAACGAATTTTCAATTATTGACGATTTTGCCTTTCAGTACTTAGATTCGGCTCGTTCTTTAGAATTACAATACAATTCGTTACGCAATATTACAAATTACACATTTTTCGGCTTAATCGAACTGGAAGATTTGGACGTTTCTCACAATAAAATTGCTAGCATTTCGGGTATGGCTTTCGATACTTTGAAGAAATTAAGAAGTTTGAATTTGTCATTTAATCCATTGAAGATACTTCACAAGCAAATTTTCCAACAAGGTTTGCCATTGAGTTCTTTAAACTTGGACAACTCTGGAATATTCATGATAGAGAACGGCACGTTTCACGGATTAAATAACCTAAAGTCTCTTTCACTCAAAAACAACTCTCTGTCGTCTGAAGACTTGTTATCAATCGATATTCCTGGACTAAAGTATTTGTCTCTGTCATACAATGTCTTAGATTATTTACCTTTAGAATCGTTCGCGCAACTTCCACTCCTGGAGGTGTTACTGCTAGAACATTGCAATATCGAAAATATATTCGAAGGCACATTCGCGTACAACAGAAATCTTTTGAGATTAAACTTGGCACAGAATATTATCAGTGCGATTCCTTCAAAGCTTTTTGATGTACAAAACTCAATTTCGGAGTTGAATATAAGCAATAATTTCTTAGATTATGTTCCATATAACAGTTTTTACAATTTGACACACATTGAATCCTTGGACATTGCAGATAATCTTTTGCCACGAGTAGAATTAAGTGGATTTGAGAAACTTAATAAATTGAAATATTTGATCTTGAAAAAAAATGAAATTAATTCCATAACAGCCAGGAAGAAAATCGAATACAACGAATTAATGTTATTTGATATTAGCTATAACAAATTAGAAACATTGCCTATATTTATATTTGACGTTTTTCCAAATATACAAAACATTAATATATCGTACAATGAAATAGTACACTTCGATTTTTTACTAGTATATAGAAAAAATGGTATAAGACTAGTGAATATTGACGTTAGTAGGAACCCCGTAGTTCCCTGGACCTCATCTAAAAAGGTAGACAATAATACACTTATGGCTAACTTATACGAGCTACACATTTGTTCGACTAATATAAGCAACATAGATGATGGCACGTTCGAGTCATTTACAAGCTTACAGCACCTGTATTTGAAATTCAATAAGATAAGACGTTTGTCGATAAGCCCCTTTTCAAAATTAACTTTTTTAGAGAATTTAGATTTAAGTTTCAACAGAATTTCACAATTGAAGTCGAGCAACTTTCGAGGCTTAGTCAGGTTAAGAACGTTATGTTTGGCTAACAATAACATTGAATCTTTGGAGTCGTTCGCTGAAGAACTGAGCAGTTTGAAACTTTTAGATCTTTCGTACAATAAAATACAGAATATTTTGAATGAAGACTTGAAAAACTTAAAAGAGTTGACAGTACTGTATTTGGGACACAACAATATAAAGTATATATCCGTAACTGCTTTTAGAAACTTGAACAAGATAGTACAAATAGATTTAGGACATAACAAACTTCAGACAATATCTCTAGAGCTATTGAACTCTATTGAGAATCACATCCAAGAAATATCCGTTAAAGGTGAGAACAAATATAACATACTTCCTTGTAAGTATGTTAGCAAAGTGTTCATTAAGTGAAAAGCAACCGGAACTTTCAACTTTACCAAATACACTCATTGTAAACTTTGTAGTTGTAACTTTGCACTTAACTTTTTATTGATCTTACTTTATTGTTTTCGACTAACTTTCAACTCCTTGGTGCTATATTGATGTTAATTCACGACTTTTCAACTATCTTTGATACTTTGTTTGTCATAAAACTAATGATCGCAATAAATCTACTTAATATACATGTCTCTTTCTGTTTTTACGATGATAAACTATGAACTGAACGGATTATTGCAAAATTGATAAATTTGTGGAGTTTAGTCAAAATTATTTTTTCAGATAACGTTTTAACTTGCAACTGCCAAAAAAATAACACATGGGTATGGATCCAGAACCATCCTAAAGTAATAAAAGCTGACACAGTGACATGTCTCAACGATGATATTCCGAAGGAGAAATGTAATGTTCCCGTCATCTCGCAACTGTCGGTAGATAAGCACAAGGACAACTCTGTCTCGGTGTCATGGTTCATCAGGAACCGCACAGCGATTAAAGCTCTCCAGATATTGTACTATGGCGAGGATGTTTACTCGGAGGTAGGCTGCTTTCAGATCGATTGTTGATTAGAATCTATTGAAATAATGTGTTTGATAGTTTTTATAATTTTCTGATTAGCCAGAATAAGAACATTAGATGACATAGCTAAGGACATTACAAATAAGTAATATTATGGCGAATTAAGTATTTTTAACATACTTTTTTTCAGGTCAAATCGAAATATTTAGAAAAAAGCGAAGTATCTGCTCACATTACTCATTTAGAACCGAACACAAATTACGTCGTTTGCATCATCACGTTGTCAGAAGAACCGGTTATAACCGTTGATGATGATGAAGATATGCAAAATAAAACATGGGCCAAAAACGTTACCCTAAGGAACCCCGAAGATGTTGTCGCCTCAATACTAATGCGCTCGCCGTCTAGCGAGTGCACCTCTTTCAACACGTTTAGAAAATCAGTCACACCGAAGATAAGGCCTAACAAAGTGTTTGATATCTCAATGATTCTCAACCGACGAATGGGACTGATTGTTGGATGCTCGCTAGGGTTCGTAGTTTTCTTTATAATGGTCTCAATTTTGTTATACACTAAAATCAAAGAAAGAAAAAGAATAGCGAAGTCAGATCCGTCTTGGGGTGAAATGAACGACTACCATTCTATGCACAGTAAGGAGGATGTTTTAGAAAATTCAAATGCAGCCTCTACTGATAATATTTTACTAGGAATGACCAAAAATCGTAAGAAATCATTAGATCGACTTTAAGATTTTAAATGTTTTTTACTATTTATTGTACCTTGGAAACCATTAACGTCGTAATTTACGGAATTATAATTTTACATAATTAAAATACAGATACTAAATTCCATTCAAATGAGTAACAGGAAAGTGCGTTTGTTGATTTACAGTTGGTTACTACGTTATTAATTACTATAATCTATGTTTAAAACTTTTCAAGGCACAATAAGGTACGAAAACAATTTTTACCAATTTAACATTGTAAAATAGTTTACAAGTATAAGTAGAAGAGGAACAAATTGATTCTAAATTTACCAATAATTTTATTATTTTTTAATATAATAGGCAGTAGACAAACTAGAGGCTTATCCAGACTGTTCGCTTATGAATAGCTATAGATTTAGATATAGCATTCATGTAGAAATATTATTAAAAATTACAAAATTTCAAAGTTACCGTTAGTGTTATTATAGAAGAAACGCAATAAATATTTGAAAGTAAAAGTAGTTTTTTTATACTTTAATTTTTTTTTACTTTAAAAATCCGAGCTTTTTCATGAATAATAACATTTTGTCGTATATGAGTTATATATATTGCGGTCCGAGTTATATTATAAACAGCGCCTAGCACACCATAAATATTTAAGAAACGTGGCTTAACACTGACCTCTGTGGAACACCGTTCGACACCGATTTTACTTATCATTTGACCGTCACGGTTAGGATACATTTGCCGCGTAGGTAATCTCCAACTGTCACCCACCGTAAATTAGAAGGCACTCCATGATACCGGAGTGCCATCTCAATCACGCTGAACGGTAATATTAAACAACGCATAAATTTTTAAGAAATTCCGATGTAAACAAAAAGTTTACAGTAGCTTACGTTGTGAACGTATAGTACTTGTTGATAATTTTTCAGAATGAATGAATCTTTAAACACTGTCGAAACTAATACGTTGTAAAAAAGAATATTCAGTGGGCTGCGTAATACATACTAGCTACCTGGTGGATTTTGTAGATAAATTCTAAATTAATTCGTACATTTTTCAATGTCTGTAGTATCCAAGATACGGTAAAACCTTTTTAATTTTAATTAAATCTTACGATAATACGGCTCGTTTTCGAAGCCCTGATACACGAATTCAAAGATATAGAGTACGCACTAGTCGTACCGTGGTATTGTATTTTTACACAATTTTATACCTCTTTATTGCGCAATAATTAAAGTGTTACCGCTGCTGTTAAATCGTGTACAGTACTCCACTGTGGCAAGTTTCTACAGACTCACCTCGATAGCAGTATATAATCAGTATATAATAAGCAGTATATAACTAGATACGTGTCCGGGAAACTTTACTTTAGCTACATTAGGTTTTATAAATATTAAGTTCCCAGTGCACTTGAGAACTACAGTCCAATATACTAAATACACGAATGGTTTAAACATGTTTTTTGATACTTAACAACGTATTTTCATAAGCATAATTAAGGTTAATGTATTTTTTATGTAGTGTCTGGCACTTTAGTCTGCGGTACAATGTTGTAATAACCCTTTGGCTTTTCATTAACCTTTCTATTCTCCCATCTTTATATTCTCCCATGTACGTCATTGGGACATAATTCCCAGGTAAGTAAATTACACTAAAGAAATTTATGATATTTATGGTGCAGGACAAACGTAAAGAGACAAGTGCAGCCGAATGAAGGCTGACTACTACGACGTGTCGCGATCAGACCGACTTGGAACCGGAAAAAAACTCGACGCCGCGCGCCGTGCCCCGACCGTGACTCTGTCGTAGCACGGACTCGGCCCGGTCTAACATGAAGTTCATACAAAAGCATATATGGATATTTGACCGTACTGCCCGGCCCAAACGCAGCGCGGTGTAATGTGAATCATAATTTAACGTGCATAATTACGCTGTTTTCGGTATACTGTATTTTTGATGGGGCATTATCGATATGCCTTATTTTTGAGAAATAAGTTACACTTTGCATTGCCCGTATCGGCACAAAGTGCCAATGATACGCAGCACAGCATGGCTTTATTTTGTAATTGCATTGCATTCAAAGAAATGTATACTTTATTAAGGTTGAAAATATGTCATATATTCTACTGCATTGTAAAAGCTCAGCAGCTCAGTATCGCTGTATAACAATCTAGATGCTAGCTGCATCTGATTCAATTATTGTTTACAGAAATGTAACCTTAGGGTGTAGAAGACATAATACGGCTTTAAAATATATTACTCAAGACATGTAAATGGCAGATGGTGCATTTGTGTCCAAATCTCCAGTGAATTAACTCATTTGCGATTGTGACAGGGTACGATGACGTCAACATTTAGACTATTCAAATTCTGTGATTGACGCGGTGTGGCGGCGTGTTGTGACGGAGTGACGCAGTGGCATAACCTAATTGTCACCTAAGTGCCGTTACGGGAAGTGAACTAAAGCATACATCCAATATTGACTAAGCCCTTTCGGGGTGTTCGATACTGATCAAACTATACAACTCGGAAATGGTTTGCATTCTCAAGCGTTCAGTAAAGAGGTGAAAACTTAAAACAAAGTTGTGCAGCGAACTGGCTTTTTTGAAATTTTGATCTTTACGTGATTTAGTTAGGATGGTTCGAAAAAAATTATATCAGTTTGCTGAAAATTTTAGGCTTGAAAATGAAGTAAGCAGATAGACATGGTTTACTACATTCATTTACGCCGTGAGCCATGTGGTTTACAATATTAAATAATTATACTTTCTTACTTTTCGTTAACCGCCAAAGAATACGTTTAGCAATTCAAAGGGGAAATGTTGCCAGCCTTCTGGGCACGATGCCCCAGGCTGCGGCTCTCGAGGAAATTTTTTCCAAATTTTTCTACTTAAAAATTTTAATATTGTATTATCATTTCTTAACTTTAACAATTATAGTCAGCGTGGCTTCATAAAAATTATCTTTCATACACGCAACACCACTTACGTTTATAAGTATGGAAAATCGTTTCATCTTTGCAAATTTGAACCATATAGGAACAACGAACCATATACGAACGGCTGCAGCCAGATTAGCCCTTCGTAGTAGGATACGTTACTACCTATTATAATTGGTAATACTAACTGGATACTAACTGACAGCTTAGTAGCCAATTTAGTTACTTACTTTTCCAAGTTCAGTACACCGATTTACTTAAAGTAGCTGTTATGAACTGTGATGTTAAAGCTGTATAAATTAAATTGACTGAGTTTCCCCAAAATCACAATTTTAATTATTTGTTCCACTACCGGACACGAGTCTCCTCTGAGGAGAGCGTTTAGACCATAGGTCACCACGCTGGTAGAATGCGGGTTGGGGACTTGACACGTTTTCCAAGGGCAGTGACCTTTCTTTAACGTCTAAGTAAGTCGTCACCAAATTTCAAATGTTCTTAACTTAGTTATTAAATTTTATTAGCGTAGAGCTTCTTGTGAAAGAGTTCGTCCAAGGAGGTGCCTTACCTGTTTCTGCAGCTAAGTGGTACTACGCTTTTTGATACGCGAGCATTACTGCGTTCTGGTTTGGAAGGGTAAGGGTGAAATTACGGCTAATGGGACTGGAACTTATGTCTCTAGGTGACGGACGTAGTGGCAATTCTCCTAAGATCTTTGCAATTTAAAACGTCGAGCGGTACAGCAACTGTTATAGACAGACGCTTACTACCACGTGCACGATTTGGTATCATAAAAAAAATCACAAATACATGCCGCCTCACAGCTTCGAACCATAGACATTTCAATTAGGAAGCAACCGTGAATTGGCCTTCTTCCCTTCTGAATTTTAATAATAAAACTGAATTTTGAAGTCTTTGAAAAACTCGTGAAACTAATTTGCATTTCTGAAATCGATTAATTGGATTACCTAAGTTAAATTAAACTATTATAATGACAATATTTATTTATAAGCTCCTTTGGAGTCGGAGGTCTGTTATGAAATATTCATAAGGGTCTAATTCTGTGAGTAAAATGAAATCCTCTGAGATTAGTTGACATGTCTGTACGTCTGTTCGTATACAGAGTAATTACACGCTACACCGGGACGGCTCGTGGTTTTATTATAAACTACCGCCACACGAGTACTGTTGCTATCAAAAGCCTAACTTGATACCGGAGATATAATAGAGAGACAGATATTTACTTAAAGGTACTAGTATTCGACAGTGGCTCCCGCGACGTTGCCAGTTAGCTACGTTTATTTTACGCCGACGTCAACAAGCCCGCGCAGAATTACGAAAGTAAGTATTGTTTTCATTGCATTGATATTATTTTGTGCACGTCAATATTCAGTGTGAAACTAATGCTGCTAACAGATTGACTGCATGTTTGCAGTTAATGCGTGAAGTTATGCATCCAAGACCACGACTGCATGAAGTTGATAACTACTTCACGCATTCATTGCTTGCAGTCGATCTCGACTGCATGCAGTCGAGTCGTAATCAAGTCACGCATTAACTGCAAACATTACTTTACATCAATAGTAGGTGCCGGTTCCTGGAAACTCTGGTAGAATTTGTACCGGTAAAATCTCAAGTACCGATAAAAAGTACCAGTAAAAAAACCAATATTCCAAGCTCTGATTTCAAAGCAATTCGAGTTGTTCTTTCTTGAACAGCATGGCAATTTGCAAAACTAACGATAGAAAGAAAATGAAAGTTTTCTAACTCAATTAAATTCCTATTGTATAATTATGTACCACTCATAAGGGTTTAGCAACCTTTGCAAAAGCCATAGCTCTCACAATAACAAGCTGGTTAAAAGATATCATTTCAGCCGAAAAACGTCCATCCACTGATGGAGGCTAACCCCAAATATCGTCTCAAGGACTGGTCTTGCGGTACTCGTATCCAGCGGATTGCCACAACCTTCACCAGGTCATCGGCCACCTTGACGACACATTGAAATTTAAACTATTTTTTCCAATCCTTTCATATTACTTAAGAGCCAGGCTCTTGGCGGTATAACCTACTCCTATGCTCACGGTTCATAGCCAGCTCCTCAATGTACGTCATTCTTGGTCTTCCTCTTTTTCTTTTTCCTTCCATCTTCACCTCAATTATAATTTATATAAATTTGTCACTACGTAACAGACGTCCAAACATTTACCCCCTGCTTTTCTGCGTTATCTTAAAAAGATTTGTCTCTTCCTCAACCCTTTTTAAAATTTCTTCATTTGATACCTTCTCAATACATTTCATTTTCTCCATTTGCATTCGTTAATTTTAATCACTCCTATCT